GGATGTATACTTCGGCTAATATAGCGGAAGGAGAAGCACCCATTGCCAATCCTTCTGTTTGTTTGTAATATTGTTAAGGTTCTGACTGTTGTTCGTTATTCATCAAAAGACAATGATCTACCGCGTATTTCGGCTTTCGAATCCAAGGTAATTTAATAAGGATCAGTCGTGTTTGAGAGAGAAAAAAACTGTAAACGTACCGCTGTAACAGGCCGCGGAGGCCCATAGGGCTGTGGGACGTCGAGGCTCCCACATTTTCTAGACAATCGGTTCACAGATGGCGGGGAGGTTGTCAGTTTTACACGCTGACCACCTTATACATGTAGGGTTACAAGCACGAAGCGGATGTACGTGTATGCTAGGGTAGACGGCCAAGCTTAGGAATCCATATAGATGCAACCCTTCGCATTTCGAGGATTGTAAAACCCTGAGGGTTTGTGAGATAGTCTGCGAAAGGCATCCGTAATACCCAACATGGATATCTCTACAAACCACACGTACAGCGTACTGTAATACAACTGTTTTAATAAATAATATTTTTATCTTGTTTTCCTTAATATTTATTACCGCACGCGGTGGCGTAGTTGATGAAACACTATGCTACAAGCCGGAAGGTCGCGGATTCGAGTCCTGATGAGGTGGATTTTTTCAATTTACTTAATTCTTCCAGCAGCACTGTGGCCCTGGAGTTGACTCAGGCTGTAAGAGAAATGAGTATCAGGAATCTTCCTGGGGGTAAAGGGCTGCTGGCGCGTAAGACTGACAACCGTACCGCCATCTGTGAGCCGATTGTCTAGTTAATTTGGGAGTCTCGACGTCTCACAACCCTATTGGCCTCCACAGCTTGTTACAGGGGTAGCTTTACCTTACCTTTGTAATTACGGACTACGATATGAATCTCTGCAACTGCGCTCGTAAGTTATTACCTGTAATGCAGTGATAGACGGAATTGATATCAGGAATGTAGAATTTGAAGTTCACACAGAGGTGGTTACGAGGGGTTCTGTCTTCTAGAATATAAGGTCATATAATACACTGAAAGTCAACCGACATTTCGGAGCAACATTTAGCCAGTATCTTCGGAATCGAACATAAGTCATGCAAGAAACCAGCAAAATTTTCGAATGCCATTATATTCTTTCTGTGTATAATGAGGGTATCAGCCACATGCCTGATATAGTACATTATTATTATGTTTTATTGGCTGTTATTCTAAATTGTGAAGGAAAAATTCAGCTATGACATCTCATATATGCGCCCCAATATTAGATATATCAGATGAAAATTAATTTCAATACCGTAAACGAAAGAGGCCTAAATCACATCTCAACATGAGGGATTTGAATCGAGTCCACACCATTACACCTTATTCATTTCGTGTCAATATTAATATTATCCTCCCATTTACGACTTGATCCTCCAAATCCAAGTGCTCCCTTCCCTTCAGTATGCTATTTAAGTAGGTTTGCACCAAGTAAGCATTGAGTCATATCCACATTCACTCTCACATAATATTCATATTACTTTATTATTAACAAGGCTGTACATACTTAATCTTATATTTCATATTTAATGTCACCAAGTCACTGTCACCTTTGCAGCAATGGCGGAAAACACTGAAATATTGCAGTTATAATTTTTATTTATGTTATAAAAATATAATTTGATTTCGTGCCGTTGATAATCTGTCGTAGTAATCACGCGGTGACCCAGTGACGAATGGCACAGGGTGGTTCACAATCACTTAAAACAAACAAATATTTCACTCGAAATGTTGTTCTGTGGTTTGATTCTGACGTCATCTAGACATGCTAATCAGTTAGTCAGAGATTATATAAGAATGTAATAAAGAAAGTTCTTTCACTTTTTCTTTTGTCACTTTTACACACGCAGAATAGATTAACGTAATAAGGCAAAATGACTCAGTAGTACAAGTACAAATATAAACACAAGAGGGGAGGTTTGTGTCGTGTTGCTTGACAGACAATCAGCAAGTCTAGGAGAGTACACAGTTAGGCATCTCAAGGAAATGATAAACGTTTCGTATACAGGTCCTATCTCCGTGTTCAGGGAGATAATTTGTATGGATCCCGACATTCTATATACCTGAAGACAAAGTCAGCATATTGAAACCCGAATATGAGACCTGTTTATATTCTGATGTTGTACAGTGTCCAAAAAGAAGAAGTGTTGTGAAGCTTTTAGGTCACTGTTCGAAATATTTAGAACCAGAAATAACAAGAATGACAACTGCTTCTCTACAATAACTTTCTGGAGTTTTTGGCAAGAATATTTGATTTACATTATTTACGAACTCAATTCTATATGTGTGTATGTGTGTGTGTGTGTGTGTGTGTGGGAGCAGTTAAGACAGACTCACTAATATATAGTATATAGTATAATGAGTAGTACAACGGTGTCCGAGTCTGAGAAATGGCAACTCCATATACCATTAATGTTTAAATTTGAACTCAGACATTTTTACTTGCATATTCTGTACGAATGTCATTAATGTGCGAGTAGACTATCTAGTCTCTGCAATGCCACCACAGCCAATGAACCCATCATAAAATTACAATGATAGGTCTTAGTATGAACAGTATTTGTAAGTATGAAGTGATATATATATTTTAGGCACTGGATTACACACATGTGTTTTCGAAAAAAATATATAAAAAAAAAGTATCCCTGTAATAGGCCATGGAGGCCCATGGGGGTGTGAGATGTTGAGGCTCCCACATTTTCTAGACAATCGGCTCACAGACGGCGGTAAGGTTGTCAGCCTTACGCGCCGGCTGTCCTTTACGCCCAGGAAGAATCCTGGTACTCATTTCTGTTAGAGGTTGAGTCGACACCAGGGCCATAATGCGGCCGGAAGGATTAGGTCAATTGAAAAAATCAACTTCATCGGGATTCGATTCCGCGACCTTCCTGCTTGTAGCATAGTACGTCAACCAACATCGCAATCTCGTGCCCACCTGTTTTCCAGAATAAAATCAAAACTATCGCTTCATGAATTGGTAGCGAAATTTGAGAAGCTATAACATAAAATCGCCGGACATCCGGAGATATGGACTAGCTCTATCGATGGGGTCCAACTGAGTAGGTTTTACCTGAAGACGGAGACAGAATCCAGTAAACGATTAATGAACTATGGTACGCAGAAGTCAAGGTCATGACAGTTTAGTGTCACAGGACACTAAACTGTCGAAGTGGGGAAGGCATAAGTGGAATAAGCATCCCATATTAATTTGAAAGGAAAACGTAATATTAAGAATACGAATTTAATTATCCTATGGAGACAACGAGGGCAGAGATGGTAGAATAAGAACAATGCCCAGTAGAACATAATTGGTCGATTTAAGAATTGAGATTAGCAGGAACTAAGCAAGCACACTAGCCCACGTTCATGGAATAATCCATTAAAATGAAGGGCACCAAAAACTTGTAGGATGTTTGAAGTTCAAATGAACATACTATAACGAGCATGTGCGAACTTTAAGAACGAAACAGGTATAAGTGACTTCTGATCTGGCAGAACTCATCCCATTTCATCCTTGACAAGTTAGCCCTACAATATATCCAAGAAGTCTGAAACATTACTTTGGATTACTTAATTAGAAACTCCTTTATTTTAATCAGATATGTTCAACGTTCTCTCAATGGTTTTCATTAGATTATATTGACAATTAAGTAGAAAACAACGTAAGTAAACGTAATTTGTACTGTATTGTCCTACATACTTTTTAGGACAACTGGATTCCATGCAGAAGGATAGAAATATTAGACATAAATTTTTCGTATCTAGGGCCATTTACACAACTGTGATGCACTCCGCATAATATATATATATATATATATATATATTGTTATTGGCTCTTTATGTCGATTGTCTGTCAAACTGTTCATGTGCTTCGTTGATGTGTAAACGCAATGGGAAAAAATTAAAACATTCAAATGCAATTAAATCCCCGGGGAAATGGTCCCACTATAAACAACAAACATTTTCCATTTAGTAATGTTTAAGTGTACTTTTATTTCTGGAATGTGAACAATAAAATAATTTGTGTTTTTAATGGAAGGGGCCCCGTATATCAAGTTCTACATGTTTCTATTCGAAAGAGGGGAGTTTTAACATTCTTTAACTCTCTGCAGTGTGAATTCCTTCTAAATAATGTATAGAAATTTAGGTCGTGCCTCACAGGAAACACATTACGTCTTCGTTACAAAGATTGACCGGTTAATTTAGTTCAGGGAAATAACTGCTTTCTATCGAGGGAACCATATGAAACACACACATGCACTATGTGGGCACAATGCAGGGCTTCAGTATGTCAGAACAGGTGGTACATACAGTAACCACTGGGCTTTGAAAGTTGGTTTTTTAGTTTTGAGTTCCAACGCGTTTTCATTTCGAAAAGGAAAGCATCGTTGCAGAGTTTTCTTAGAGAAGGTGTAAGCATGTAACGCAATGTTATAAATGGCGTGTTACTCTTTGTGTCTTCAGTCAACTAGCCCACTTCCTCACTATCATCATCCGCATCAGTGCTAGTTACAGGGCTTTTTTTATTGTTTAATTTTTCCTGGTTACGTACAGATAGCTCATTTAGAAGCGCCGTCTCTTCTGCTCTTGTTTGAGAACGTGAGTGAGAGGAACATACTCTGCAACTGCCAACAGTTGTAGCTGGCTAACTGTGGCTCTACAACTACAGAAACTGCATGCTGCCCTGAACACAAAAATAACTAAAATCCGTGGCCTGTAGTCCGCAAGCGAACTACACTGACCGAGCGACCGCCGTTTGTCGGCGAAGTTAGTATCAACTTTAGCGGATAGAGGGCATCGCGTGGCCAGCTCAACGAATTTCCACGGCCGTTAATTTCGGTTTTCTAGACCGGAGCCACTACTTTTCCGCTCAAGTAACTCCTCAATTATCCTCGCAAGGCTGAGTGGACCCCGTTCTAGACCCACTACTTCTCAGAAAATCTGGTAGTGTCGGGAATCGAACCCGGGAATTCTGGATCTGTAGGCAGGAACTCTGACCACTAGACCACAGAGAAAATAATTGTATTTGAATTAAAACCTGATTGATAAATCAGGCTAGGATATGGGGTTTACAGCCGCTATTCCACGCAGAGGATTATCTTATTGATGCTTCATCGGGACTGGCTCTGGGATCCATTCAATCTTCTAACCCAGTGTTTATCAACCCGTGGTACGCGTACTTTTAGGAGTACGCGAAGGGTACGTGAACACAAGTTAAATGTCTTTCTTTCTTCTTAAAATTTTAACTAATAAATATTTTGCAGTTTCTTCCAAACAGCCACCTACTATTAAATTATTTAATCAAGTATGTTGTAGTGGTAGAAAGAATAGGATATTTGAAAACTGTAGGTATTTGGAGCACTTCAAAAATATTTTTCTTTAAAAAGGGGTACTTATAAAAAGACAGATAAACACTTCTCTAACCAATGGATACAGAGGACGTTTTCCCCAGGGCAAAGCGATCCGAGCATGAAGCTGACCATGCCTCAATTTAATACAGATATAATTTAGCACTTAAAAGGTCAATACAGTTACGAGATCATGAGAATGACAATTGGAATTTCTTTACTTTATAGATATGTTTTGAATGATCATTAGAGAACGAAATGTGAGGATCCTTTGAATTTCTGTGCATGTGCTGAGGCGTAAAGAATATGAAAACACGCCGTTTTTTTCTGTCAAGTATTTTACAACAAGATAAGATATTTATAAAAGTAAAAGAAGAACTGTGAAAACAACTCCTATGTGCAATGACTAAGACTATTCAAGAACCTTCCCCTTTGGTTACAAGAAAATTGTCTATTCTCAATCACGCATCTTCTGTTTGTATTCAAGACGTTGTGCTCCCCTTAAAGGAGAGATATGTTGCCGTGTTTAGCTAAATGCAACTGTCTGGGTGATGGATGAACTGTCTAGAGGCGGAATGTGCTTCAAATTCTTCTTATGCTTATTCAAACATCCGATATTTTCATGCGCCAGAAGCCCACTGGTGAAGACGCCTCCTCATGGCGCTCAGGGACAGCCTGCAACAATAAAGATTAAATATATGAACAACAATAAGATTTCGCAAACGACATGTGAAAGAGTGTGAAGTCCTTCAATGACTTACCTACTTGGTTCTGAATGTCACCACCAGAGTGTGTGTGCATTCTGTGATATGACTCTAGTACAGTGTCTTTGTTGCAAATCCAGTAGTCACTTAGGTGGTCAAGAAAATCCCTTCCTATTACAGTATCGCATGTTCATTATTGTTTTCGCAGTCGTGTGCCAATGGATCTTATTATGAGCCAGTTGAGTTCAGTTCAAAACCTCACACTGTATTTCTCTAATATCCATTTCGGCTCTCATTTGATAGGGAAAAATATCTGCTTCATTACTGACGGGGTGATGTTCAAAACTACAGGGGATGGACAAAAATATGGAAACACCCAACAAAAACACATTACCGTGACTAATATGGTGAAGGACAACTTCTGGCTTGCAGAACTGCTTGCAGACTTCTTGGAATGGATAAATATAGGTCCTGTATGATTTGCAAGGGGATCTTGTACCATTCTTCCTGCAAATTATGGCAAGTTCTGCTATCGATGATGGAGGTGGATAGCGCGCACGCAGATTGCTCTCCAAAACAGACCACAAAGGCTCAATAATATTGAAATCTGGCGATTGTGGGGGCCATGGCAGACGTGACACTTCATCTTCGTGCTCAGAAGACCAGTCCTGGACGATGTGAGCTGTGTGAAAACGGGCATTGTCGTCTTGGTAAATGGCATCACCATTGGGGAACATAGTTTGCAACATGGGATGGACCTGGTCGCCCAAAATGGTCACATAGTCGTTGGCAGTGACGTGACCTTGCAGGGTAATGATGGGTCCGACAGAATACCACGATATGGCTGCCCATACCATGATCAAACCCCAGCCATGTTTCACTCTTGGAAGCAAACAATCTGCATCGTAAGCTTGGGATGGCGTTCTCCAGACGTAAACTCGGCCAGAAGTCGGAAACAGTGTGAAGGTGGAGTCATCTGAACAAATGACCATCTTCCATTGCTCGATAGTCCACATTTTATGACTTCGGTACCACACTCTCCTCTTAGTGGCATTTTGATCACGGATGAGTGGCTCTGGAATTGCAGCTCGTCCAGAAATACCCTGCTTGTGTAGTTCCCTTCGTACTGTTTTGGTACTGACAGGGTTTGTGAGCGTGACATTCAGTTCATCAGTCACTTTTGCAGCTGTAGTCTTCTTATTTTTCGTCACAATCCTACGCAATGTTCATCTGTCTCGATCACTCAACACACATTTCCGTCCACGCTGGTGTTTATCGGATGCGGTTTTTTCATTCCTGTAGGCGGTCATAATCTTGGATACTGTGCCTCGCGAAACACCAGAAACCTCGGCTACCTTGGTTACGGAAGCACCCACCATACGAGCCCCAACAATTTGCCCGCGTTCGAATTCTGTTAGCTCTGACATGATGCTCTAAAAACTGCACAGAACACTGTCTCGACAACAAATGAAGCTTGCAACGTATTACGGAGGTTGTACAGGTAGTGGTGTTGGTCAGATACGGCAGCGTGACCTGCAAACATCGCTAAAATAAACACTTCAATTCAGGCATGGATTTCACGAGGTGTTTCCATATTTTTGTCCATCCCCTCTATGTTCATGCAATCGGGCCCCTACAGTTACAGGGTAGTATTGTGTCATGTCCGCTAAAAGCCGGAATAGTTTAACCACAAGAGATGTCCGTTACTAGATTACGACCCAATAAACAGTGACGTAACCATGGAACACAAACACAACGTCAGCGTGAAAACAGTTATGCACGCAACAATAGGGTAATTCTGGGAAGCGGTGTTCTCTCCGGGTTCGTGCAGAGGCTATGTCTGGAAAACAGAAACAAAGCTGAGTCAGGCTGGTAAGAGTGAAGTGCAATTGCAGCAGTCTGTAAGTCACCAGGCCACGCCTGTCATGATGCAGACATCACTGAGCTCTTAACCCGCTACTGGCAGGAGTTCTGAACGCTATATATTTCCATTTTGGAATTGCGTAGTTTCCAAAACTTCAGGCTCGAAACTACTGAATTCACTGCATATACGAGTAAGCCAGTTTCAAACTTCTGCACCATAATGTCTCACATATTACTCTCATACTGCAAATGATGGCGCGCTCGACATTGTTGTGCACAAGAATGTCCGGCTGTCAGAAGTCATTGTCTCCAACATTCTGGATTTAAATCACCTACCAATCTGATTCCACTTGCTGGATCATGTTCGAGCGGCGAATATTTCGAACGCAGTTGACAAATTCAGACTGGGAGCGGTTTTCCAAACCTAGCCAGCCTGGACACTGTGGAGCAGAGACAAATCTCTTGCACCTGATGGAAATCGAACACCAGCTGTTCAGCCCATAGCCTGTAGCTATACCGAGTGAGCTATCCTGCATCGTATATAATACACAATATATTTTTTTATTTATTGCTAGTGGGGTGGGACTAAGTCCCTTGTACTGCGGCCACTTCTGGCCTATTGTACCAGCCCCAAATGATAGCTGAAGGTGATTGTGGAGCAATGAATGGAATGAAGTTTGGCAGGGGAAACCGAAGTACTCGGAGAAAACCTGCCCCAGGGCCACTTTGTCCACTACAAATCCCACTTGACCAGACCCGGGATCGAACCAGGACCGCCGAGGTGGGAAGCCAGCGACTAACCGCTTGTGCTATGGCGCGGCCTATAGAATACATATTAGGATATACATAATATTGTCGCGTATTGGGCGTATAACGCGACAAATAGCTTCACGATGTATTTGGTATAGCGAATTTTATTTCACATTCGCACTTACAATCACCCAAATTACAGATTTACGATTACTGCTATCTGCAGTATCACAAATAGTACACTCCAAATGCCGCAATACAACTGACTGGTTGCATGCTAACTCGGAACTAACGTAGCTCGAGGACTGGCTCGTAGGTAGCTCCAGGACTCACTGACTGTGAATAGCCTTCGCTGCTCCTTATGTAGCCTTGATCGGACAATTGTCGTCTGGTGCCGTGTTGCTAGCCACGCTGTCCGGAGTTGTTGACTGCTGCCTAGCAATCGCGATATCCCTCGGTGACGTCACCGCTGTTGATTCGCTTTGCATAGCTTCAAGGTTGCGAGGACTCGGCTAACGTCGGCTCCGCTCGGCTCACTTCGGCTCCGCTCGTGACGTCACCGCGCGTTGCGCGTTGCATAGCTACCAGGATGCGGGGTGATTACTCGCC